GAAATAGCTAATGTTATTCACAGATAAGATTATGTATTTATATGCAAATACTGTATTTAAAGACCTGTAATGGTAACTCTCCCTGTTTCTTACCAACTGATATACTACTTGAGACAACTGAAATGAGAGTCCTTGCAGAGGAATCCTAAAGCAGAAGCTATCAAAGACCGGAAGAAGGTTTGCCTTAACTTTCCTCAACTAGGAACAAATGTGAAGTCATAGTAGACAGAGAACATCCAAATTAAACCCCATCCCTAATCAGTAGATATTTGAGCTACCAGATTTGCTAGGCAGGGTACCTTCATAACTGGGGATAAGAAAGAAAAGGGGATGGGACAAGTAGGAAGTTAATAATCTCCAATCTTGCCTACCATCTCTCCCTATGAAATTTCAAAGTTCACTTATAAGCCTTGTGCTCATGCAGCCAAGAAGGTAAACATCATCAGTGTGATTTAGAGGGCTTTCAGCACATCCCTCATGATCATTCAAGTAGATAAGGAAAAACAAGATAAACAGAACAAAGCCATCTAGAAAATACTTCACTTTGTCAGCTGAATAACAAAAATGTTTTACAGAGTTGGAGCTTGACCTAAGGTAGATTCATTAATTTCTCTCCTGCTCTACTCAGTTCCACACTGCTGGTTTCTGATGTGTGGTAGCTACTGACCTTTTTCCTAAGGACACCCTTGTCCCTGCCTTAGGAACACTTCCTGCTAATAATGTTTCAGTGTCTTTCCCATATCATTTCTGACATATAATTTTGCTGTGTTTTTCACACTGAGGGCACTACCATATAATTTCTCTTCTGCTGTTTCCAGTATTGTCACAGCCTTGAGCCTTCTTTTCTGACACAGCTGGAGGACGGCAGCTGGGTGCAGAAACCCTTCTGCAGAGGTTTCCATGGGTAATGTTGATTCTCCAGGCAGCTGCAGTGCTATGCAGCAAGCTTTAGAGCTCCTTTTTATAGATGCAGTTATCAGTATGCTTTGACTCCTGGGGCCACAGTCATACTGAGAATAATCAAAATACTGGCGGTTCCCAGACTACACGTGGATGTAACTTGTCCTTACAGCTAGTAACCTTCATGGACATGAAGCTGTGAAGCCTTTAGGGAATAGTGGAAATTAATTTTAAAAATACATTTCTGTCCTTGCTATGCAGTCTGTTCTAAAGTTCAGTGAATGCTGATGGAACAATTCACGTGAACAGGTTTAATCAGGCCTGCAGACTACAATTATGTAAGCATGATGCAATTTGCTGGGACAAAAACATGGAACAAGTTCAGCATTTCATTACATTTCAATATGGATTGAGAGCCTTAATTCATATGTAGGTGAGGATTGACTAAACTTGGTAGGTAGCTGGTTGTAACAGGAACTAAAGGTGTCTGGATGTGATGGTTATATATATGGTATATAAACACCCACACAGACATGTTTACTTCTTACTGGATATTCTATACTGCCAAATCTGCTCAACCTTAACAGTTTTCCCCCAAGTATGGAGCAGCAGATTTATTTCAGGTCATGGGAAAGTAGCTCCAGCCAAAAAATAGAGCTCCAAGGAAGCAGAGTACACTTGTGTGGTGTGGTTAACTAAGTACAGACACAAAGATGAGAGGCTGTATGGAAAATCACATGAGCTAGGGAAGCCACGTATGCTGTGGGATTTTCATCCCTTAGGATACTACAGCACCCAGTCTGTAGTGAGAATTATCTTTTTATCTCTTCTTCAATACTAATGCATTCATAGGTTTTAGGAGGGGCTATTAAACCATCTTGTAAGCACTTAAGGGCTTTTTTTAAAGTTTAAATTCCTGTCTGGATCTGAAAAAGCAGAGCTGCTGCCTTTGCAGGAAATATTGTTTCTTACTGGTATTTCTTATTTCTTATGAACAAACACCTGTGCTGTTTTAAAAATATCTGGCACACTATACCCATGTACACCTATATTCACACACACCTTATTCTTTCTTGGTCCTATAGTGCTTTTCTTTCCCCTAACAATTTCTGTTCTTTGGCCTCCCTGAAGCCAGCAAAAAAGAACCTCAGGGGAAAAAATGCCAGACACATATCTGATATTCAAAATAATAAATAAATTTCTTCCATTCTTGAATAGATAAAGAATCCTCATGGTTCCCACAAGCAGTCAAAGAAATACTTCCAGCACAAATATCATTGAGGAATTTCTCCTGGTGCTTCTTCTCCACTTCTGGCCTTAAGAGTAACAATGGCTGTGGGGTGGTATATGAGGAGCTGAGCCTCATTACAGCTCTGCTGATACATCAAACATAGGTGAGGCAGCACACATGTCACAATGTTAGGAAGCATAAAGCCACTCCCGAATAATTCCTGATAAGGCTGAGAATCATCCTGATATTTAGCAACTGCTCTGCAAACACAAGAAGGGAAGCCTTGCTCACTAAAATGCAGGGTATGAGACAAGCAAAGCTCTGAATGCCTCAGCCTGTGAAACATTCATCTGCTGTCTTCATCTGCCTTTGCAGGGAACATGTCTAAATGCCTACCCTTAAAGGGAAGTCACTATTTTAAGGGAGTCACTGTTTTACTCTGGGAGCACAACGACGAGAATTTCTACCAAACACGTTCACCAAAACATAAAAACTTCAGGGATAAGGTTCTGATGCAAAAAGGGGATGGGGGAGAAGTTATATAAAGTGTATTTCTTTTTGCACCAGATGGCAGATAGGAAGGCTGTGAGCTTCACTGATCGGAATGTGAACTAAGCCTACCCTTTTGCACTCTGCCACTGTCACCAGCTCCTTCAGAAGTAAAACACAAAAAGTAAATAGTATCTTTTTCTGCTGATCACACCACCAAAGCAGTTTTCAGATTTGAGGGTTTATGCATTAGTTTCTTTGAACGCCTTTAAAAGCAATATGATCTCATCTGCCCAGAAGAGAGCAGCATTGATACCCTGGGAAGGACAACCAAGGTATTCTCTCTTGCCAGTGGGCTGGCTCGTATTATCAGACAAAATATGGGGATCCAATTATTGTGCTGAAATTTAGGAATGATTTCTATTAATCAGTTGATAACCTAAGCATTGTTAATGGGAGTTTTTGTGTGTAACAGGCATAAATCTGAGTCAGTCACACAGTTGTGTTTGAGCAACAGAAACTGTTATTTGAGGCTTGAGTAAAAGTACACTGTGTTATAGACAAGGCTACCCTTGATGCACAGCAGATGTACCTTAATTAATCACAGAAACAATCTGCTGTTTGCAGGGAACTTTTGATGCATCCATTTTAAGGGGCATACACACCAAAGAGCCTGATGCTGAGAGATGAAGTATAACTCTGTTACCTAAAAAGCCTGTGCCTTCAGGATTGAAAGGAGAAGAGGCTATTCTGCTTAACTAAGGCTTCATTTTCTTCCGTGGGACAGCGCTGCCTCCCATTCACCCCTGTGCCAAGGACTGTCCGTGAGCCCGTGGCCACCTCGCAGGGCAGAGCTGTTTGCCGAGTGTGCCTCTGCCCACGCTCCGCCAGGGCAGCGCTGCGGCTCGGCCCGGCCCGCGGCTCGGCCCGGCCCGCGGCTCGGCCCGGCCCGCGGCTCTTCGGCCGCGCTGCAATGCCGCTGCAGCCCTGCCCGAGCCCGTGGTGCCGCACGGTGATTTGAGCAGCACCGCCTTCCCGCAGGAGCAGCCCTGTGCCCGCTGAAGCGCAGAACTCCCTCCCGCCCTCCCGCTCAAAAAAAGTAATAATTACGTTTTGCTGAACGATCACAGATTTTCACAGCACTGCAGCGCCAGTTAAACCAAGCACAAACCTCTTTATTTTCTTTCCCTTGCCACTGGAGCCGAACTACTTTTACATTTCTGCGTGGGTGATTGCCTGTGATCCCGCAGAGGGAAGGTGGCTTTCCTGAAGAGAGTGCTGGAACAACTGTTGATCTCCCTTGTGAAATCCCATCTGTTGTCTGCAGCAACTCTTACTTGCTGCCTGAACAAGATAATGTTTCCCTAGCAGTAGCTGTAATTTTCCAAGCATTTTGCTGGGTGCAAAGTCAGAACTTTATTCAAAAAAGGACAAGCAGGGATATAATTTTGCTCTCTCCCTTCCGTTTTGTGGTGTGTTATGAATGAAACTGCTGGCAGTCAGGTAGGGCCAAGTCCTTGTGGGCTTCAGGCTTTGTTCAAGACCTCTAAATATGAGGAACAGTGTGCTAATTTTAGAGGTGGATTCTGGAAATGGGGAAGCCAATTTTTAAAAATATAATTTTCTGTATTATTACACCACATTTTTTTACATTCTGCCATTTATTATTTAAATACTATCTAAATGAATGTTAGTTTACAGTGGAAACTAATCAGCAGAAGCTGAACTTGGGAATATTTCAGTGTATTAGAAAAACGTTCTTCACCAAGAGGATGGCTGGGCAGTGGAACACCAGCCTCCCAGAGCTGAAGATGCATTTGGACAGTGCTCTCAGGCTCATGGTGTGGCTCTGGGGGTGTCCCTCTTGGGGCACGAGTTGGGCTTTGATGATCCTTGTGGGTCCATTTCAACTTAGAATATTCTGTGATTATGACTGTAATGAATAATTTGGGGAAATTAAAAAGAAGATTGTGACGATTCGGGGAAAAAAAATAATTCCCAAACCAAGTGAACTTAAATAATAACCCAACCACCTTTTTTCCCCCCGTTATTGGGAAATTCCTAGGGGTTGAAGAGCTGTACCTGAAACCACTCTCCCTCCCCTCGTACTAGTGAGACATTTCCCTCGTGCTAAAACATTTGATTTTTATTTTTTTTTCCCCCAAGATGCGAGGGAAATGTGAAACGCACACATATAAGCCGGGACCAGGATCACACCCGCGCCTCCCTGCGGTGCTGGCTGGGCAGGGAAGGCGGCCCGGCCCCAAGGGCGCGGAGCTGCCCTGCCCTGCCCTACCCTGCCTGCCCCTGCCCTGCCCGGCTCTCCGCTGCCCGCTGCCGGGCCGGGCAGGGGCGGGCCCACGGCCGCCCCCGCCCCTCGCAGGGCGGCAGAGAGTTGAACTGGGGAGCCGGAGCTCGGCGCGGGGCCGCGGCCGCGGCGCTGCTCGGCCTGGGGAGCGCCCGCCCGCGCCGGGCGCCAGCGGGGCGGCCGATGGCGAGGCGAGAGGACGGGCGGGACTGGGCGTACAGGTAGGGCTGCCGGCCGCGCTGGGCTCGCTCCGTGCCGGCCGCGCTGGGAGGGCGAGCTGCGCCTCGCCGGGCGCTCGGAGCCGGCCCTGCCGGGGGCTGCGGCCGGGGAAGCCCCCGCGGACCGGCCCGGGCGCGGCTGTGGCTGAGGGCACCGAGCGGCCGCCGCAACCTTCCCTGCCCGAGGGCAGCCGGGGAAGGTGGCTTCCCTAAACCCTGCGTCCTCCCTCTTTGTTTTCCCTTTCTACCTTGGGAATGGAGTGGAGCGTGAAATTAATCTGCACTTGCTGCCTGGGCAGTCGCAGTCGTAAATAAGAGATGTGTGTTGATAGACGTGTGAGGGGGTTTTGTGTGTGTGTGTGGTTTCATGTTCCGTGTCTTCAGAGAAACCTGTGTCGGGCGTCTCGCTGCCTTTTACACCCGTGGGGTTTGTGTCGCATTGGAGGATACATGAATGCTCTTCTAACAGCCAACAATCTAATAGCGATCTGAATATTTAATTGTTCCTCATCTGATTCATGCTTTACTACCTGTGACGCTCCCGTGAGCCAGTTTTCCCAAGGCTGTGCCAGTGTTGCTCCATGGCCAAATTCCTTCGCTATGAATGAAACAGACAGTGTTTTGGGGAGTTAAATGCTGAAGTCTGTCCTGAAACCTTGTCTGACTGGACAGATCCCTCTGCCTGTTTAACTTCTGCGAAGCCCATTAGTGTCCTGTACTCAGGTGATAATTTGCAGGTATGGAGCACCCTGGAAAGTTGCCATAAATATAATTTAGCAAGGTGAGTTGATATATTAGAATAGAATTAGCCATGCAGTTCTGATACTCTGTCATTATTGTGCTGCCTGAGATAATATGCTGTAACTTTGAACAATTTAAAAGATAATAAAATAAGCATGTTGGTACTACATATGAAGAAGGTAGCTCGACACAAGGATTTGTCTTTTTCCTTGTATATTTTCATGAAAATAATTTCAGAAGTTCCTTGTTTAAAAAATAACCTTTGTAACTTGTTACATGTGTGCTTTCTGTTGTCATTTTTCTGTGCAGAACTGTCTGGAAAGAGAATTCAGGCCATATTGGAGCTGTTGTGCTATACTTCATGTTTTTCAGCTGTTCAGCAGATACCTCCCAGACTTTTATGTGGCCGTAATTTTGTGTCAGTTTTGCACACAATGGGTCCTTTGCTCCAAAAACTCCTTACTTAAAAAAACCAGGGAAATCTGTGAAACTGACTGAACAGTGCATGTTTAAGTTCATTTATTTAAACAGCTTTGATATGCTAAATGGAGTGTAACAGTTTGTGGGAAGTAGGCTTTTGCTGGGAGGAGGGAGTCTTGAGCTGCTTTTAGAAATAGCAGCTGGAAGTTATTTAAATCATACTTGCCTTTTTTTTTCTTCAGCTGTAGGTATGTAGAAACATTATTATAGGAATTCTTTTTATTTTGTAGGGTTGATCCATATGGGTTTGAAAGGCCAGAAGACTTTGATTATGCATCCTATGAAGCATTCTTTTCCAGATACCTAGTGGTACTCACTAGAAGAGCAATAAAATGGTCCAAGCTCCTAAAGGGGAATAACAGTATACAGAAGAGTTTAAAAGGTGAGCTTCATGTCTCTTTATCAGTAAAAGTGCATTATGTTAGGATTCAGTAGGTTTGTATTTTTAAGTGTTGAATACTGTTTCTGTCTTCAAATGAAAACCAATAGTATAAATAGTAATAATTCATAAGCAAGTATGATATTGTTAGAGGGATTTCATTTAAATCTTCCAAAAGAGTAATCCCTCTTCAGCACAGGAATATCTTGTTACATCTGTAACCCAGCTATTGTGGCCACTGGCACTCCAAGATGCCGTTTTGCAGCTGTTGGCTGTATTGTACTCTGTGCTCTATTTAAAAAGAGATGAGATTATGTAGAAGATGCTGTCTTGAACCCCAGGGATCAGGATGTTAGGGCTCTCAGTTGCTGCCTCTTTAACAGTTCTTTAGGCTGCTGAGATTTTCTAGCTCTCCTTATCCTCCTTTTGTAAAATGACATGTACCATGCAGCTCAGAAGCTGTGTACTAAGAACTGATGGTAAATGCCTTACAAAGGGAAGAAAGTAGGATTAATGCAGGGGCTAACGCAACACTGGATAAAATGCTGATGGAAGTGTTAATGTCTTTTAACACTTTTTTCATGCTTCAAAGAGCATGAAAACCTCTAGAAATGCTTTATCTTGCAAGAGATACAGGTAGAAATAAATACAGAGAGTCAGAAGGTGTTAGGGAATCCTGTGAAACTAAAGGATGGAGTTCCCTCCCTCTCTCTTTCTGGGTTATGTTTTCATATAAGCATCTACATTTTCCTGTTTGCTGTAAATGGTGCTTATCAGGTTGCTTTCTCTGGTTGTCTTTTGGAGTTGGGCAGAGTTCTCTGAAGAATATTAAGGAAAAATTGAGTAAAATTTAGAGCTGTGCTCCAGGTGCAGCCTTTGGCTGGTGGTTCTGATAGTTTTGGGGCTGTTTTTCTTCCTTGGCACCAGAAAAGGGATGATAACTAGCGAGACATTTTAAATATAACAGTGTATTTTGTGTACAGATGTCTGTATTGTGGGTGAGAAATTCCAGAAAATGTAGGTTTGAGCTGTAACTGCTAGATCATATGCTGCTAACCACAAAGGATCTACTTCTACTGTATTATTTTTTCATAAAAATGTAAAGATGTTTTTGTTTGGGGTGTCAAGTTTGAATGTAGTGAGAACATCATGCCATTTTGAATTAATGAGGATTTTGAAATTTTGCAGAACTTAGTCTTCTAGCTGGGGAAGAATAATCTCAGTTTGATTCATACCCTTCTCTTAATGTGTGAGTGGTAACAGTGGCAGCTTTTAGCAATTTCTGTGAGTTCATTTCATTTCTCTGTGTGTTCCCAGTTCTAGCATTTTAGAAACAGAATGTTACTGTGATACCAACAGTGGAATGCCTTTGGTCTTATTTTGGAGTCAAAGCTTTGACTAAATCTCTCAACTTGAGCACCAGGCTTCAGAACCAATGGCCATGCTGCCCCACTGGGCACATAATGGCAGCAGCCTTTCATGTGGCTTTGATTGCCTCCAACAGGTTGCTCACTGTGGGAGCTGGGATTCTATAAATGCACTGAGGGGACACAGGCAATGGCTCTGGACTGTCACAAGTTGTGTTTGACTGGTGCATCATCTTTGATGCTACTGACTTGTGCTAAAGATACCTCGATTTCTAGGCTATGGATTCTCACATATACAGGTAATTGCAGGGAGGGTGACAGGAAAAAGTAATACTGAGGAAATGAAGTCTGAATATAGATTCAGGGTTGTTACAAAAAGCTTTCTACATTAGCCTCATCTGACACCTCAGAGGAGGAGAGTGAAAGCTTAACCTGTGCAATTACTGATTTTTAAATATGGTCCTTCTCATTTCAGTACTAAGATTGAATTCTGTGACATGCACATGGAATTGTGTAAGCATGTGTGTGCTTTATCCTGCAAGATGATTATGCAGTGATTTCCTTGCAGGCAAATAGCAGAAGCTCTGCTGGTTATTAACTGAATTTCCCTCCTCCAGGACCTGATTCGTTGCTATGAAGCTTTGCTCAGAGCTGCTGGCTCTGCCATAAGCTAGAACTGAGAAGAATATTTGATTTGCCACTTCCCTCCCCAAACACAGTAGCTGTGAACCAATGTTGAGTGTCCTGCTGTGAGGAGATATGAGAGAGGCAGTGCATGTGTGGTATCTCAGTAGTTCCACACCCATTTGTCTACACACAGAGAAGCTCATAATTTCTGCCCAGGCGAACAGGAAGAAGTGATGATTTGTGTTAATTTTCCAGTTTGGAAACATGGCATGTTCACATGCTGCTGGGTTTGCCTCATATCCAGGGTGGTTTGTGTGTGTATAATTCTGTTCCACTATAAAGAAAAAGAATTAGACTACATTTTAACAATGGTAATTAAGCAGTGCGTTCTTTTGTTCTGTGTTGCAGCATGCTGGTAGGGTGGGTCATGAGAATTTGGCTAACAGCTCCTTTCACTCATTCTCCAGTCTCTTCCTTTTTTTAATTTTTATTTTTCAGGTATTCTGTTCCCACCCCCCCCGCCTTCCCCTTGTTTCCACTGCACATGAGAGTTTATAATCATTGTTTGTGACTTGGCTTCTTTCTCTCTATCTCTCCCTCTGCCACTACTGAGATCCTCCTATTTTTTTTCCTTGTATCATTCAGCTCTGTCTTTATGGGACAAAAATACAGCTTTCTGCTCTGTTTTGTTTACAGGTGGGCAACAAACTGTCTGACCTAATTGCTCAAACTATCCTAATTCTGACCAAAATCATGCTACACAAAAGAATTTGGCTGTACTAGTGAAAAGTGGCCAGTAGCAGAAGAAACTTTCTGATCTTTGATAAAATACAGTGAAAGGGAAAAGTAAACTTATTAAACAGTGGTCATAACATGAGCACTTCTGTTCCAGCCCAGGGCTTGGCAGAAGAAAAGTCAGTTTGACTGTAACTTTATTACAGCACTTATGTGCTGTGTTTTTTCTGTTATGTATTCATGAAATAAAGCTTTCAGTTCCTTGTATGCTGTTTCCAGCTCTTCCACAGAATTTTTCTTCTGGGGCCCAAGTGTATTTCTTCAACATTCAACAATAATTGTTAGTACTTGAAAAAGTGGATGCAGATGCTTCTCAAAAAATATTTTCAAAATGAGATAATTTTTGTTTTTAAATGTTTAGGGAGTTTTTGCTACATAAACTTGAATCTATGCTGTAGAATGAAACAATGTTAGTAGGGGAAAAAGACAATGCAACACTTGCCTTGAAGCAGAAGTCTCCAAAATCTCATAGTCTACCATCAAACAAGGACAGGCAGGTTGAAATTACTTATTTTTATATCTTGTTACTGTAAGTAGTGTACAGTGTTAGAGAAATGTTATTTTCTGCATAATTTTCTCTTGAAAGTTACTTTGGGAACTTACCACTTTTAGACTGCTACTCTATCAGGTAGCTGTTTTTTCTTGTTAAAAGGAAATCACATTCATAAAGTGTGACTCTAAACTTGTGAAACTGGCACTAAGTGTCAGAGGCAATTAAATTATTAAGGGGGAGGAGGGTTTCCTAAAAATTGGTGTTTCATATTTTGTTAATGAACAGAGGCCAAAACTTTACCTAAAGATATTTCTTACCTGTGTATGGTCTAGAATTTAGATCACCTGTATCACCTGTCCTGGGAGTGATTCTGTGTGCAGTGCTTGGGGTATTCAACAGTGCTGCTTTTGAGATCAAGCCCTTGGTTTACAACTGGCACTGCATGTGTGGGTGGAGACCTGTGCACGACCTGGCCTCATCTGGGAAAGCCTCTCAGATGTTACAGTGGGAGGGTATTCTGTAGTGTGAACTGTTCTTGTGGGCTTCCTAGTTCCCAGGGATAATGTGGAGGAGAGCTTATATATGTATATATTTGTATAAAGACAGTTCCATTTATAGAATATGATATATCTATGTCTATCTACATATATAAATTATATATATTAAACTGCAGCTGTCCTCCTTTTCAAAATGATTTTGCTGCTTCTGCATGCCAGTTTGCAGATCCTAGCAGGTATTATAATGGTGTGAGATAAAAAAGCACAATGTAAAGGGCTTTTGCATTCCTCAGGGAGTGAGGGAGCTGGGTCAGTAGTCACTTGGGGTGATACAAGCCCCTGGCTGTCTATTGCCATGAGAATGACACTGAGGAATGAGTGTGTGCTGTGCTGCAGGCTGCTTTCCCCTTGTGCCACTGTCAAAGGCTTGTCCATGCTTCTCTTGAATTTAATGTGTATTGTTGGATATCAATGTTGGCTATGCTTCCAGAATTTACAGTTGTTCCAGAAAAAAATGCCATTGGGATTATGTGCTAAAATGCTATAATCCAGTATTTAAACCAGTAAGTTTGTTTCTAGACTCATCTGAATGTCCCTTGTTAACCTAAATGGGACTGGTTCTTGATAGGATAGTCATCTCTGTATTTGCTATGTCAATGTATAGGATTTCTTGAGCATTGGAGTTCAAAATCTTATAAAAAGATGAAGTGGGGATTATTAAACCACCATGGAAACAAGTGAATTATTTCCAGTCTAAAAGAAGGTTGTAGTTAAGGTAGCTTTACAGCTAGAAGTCTAGTCTGTAACCTGTAATATAAATCCTCATTGAAAAGTTAAACAAAAACTGTAGACCAGGCATGTATTACAAATATGTTTCTTTGAGAGAAAATACTAGATTTTAGGTGGGTGAAATGCTCATTATTTGTGCATTTTTATGTTGGGTGTCCCGGGAGAAGCAGCTTTGGGTCCTGAAGGATGGGCAGCTGTAATTAGGTGGAATGTATTTAGAAGGTGTCTGGCTGAGTTGTAGAACCTTGCTTCACTCTGCTGTTTTTAAGGCCTTTAATTTAGGCAGCATTTATTACAGAACTGTGTGATTCAATAAAACCTGGCTAGGTAGTGATATTGTGTGTGGTAATGTGTGGGTGGAATAAAAATCCCCACTTGGATTTGAGTCCCATAAAATTTAGAGAGGAGAAGTTGATGCTTTTATTGATACAAAATGATTCATTTAGTACAAAATGTCTGTTTCATTTGTTATTTTCTTCTCTGTGAAAAAAGGAGAAGAATCTCAAACATTCAGCTGTCTTTTTGGGTCAGAAAAGGCAAAGCAGATTTAGGATTATGTACCCGTAAGCAGCATTGACTCCTTATTAATATTTTTCATACCATTCCCAGGAGGAAGCTGCTCTTGTTGTCATTAGCCTGATGCTTTTTCCTGTAATTTTGCATCATAGTTATTTACACTGAATCATCTGCTTTAAAAAAAAAGCTGAAGCACACCCTTATGATGAAAATGATGCAGTAGATAAGAGATACTTTAGATTTGAAAATACTTCCACAGTTATTCTAGGAAAAAATAATCTCCTGCTCACTTACATCTCCAGTTCTTCTGGGGCTCATTTAGACAGGAGGCACATTTGTTATAATCCTCAGATTCTGCTGTATTTCAGTGGTCAGTGCTGAGCTGAAGCCCGAGGGTTATGGTAACATGGTCATTGATGTTAGAGTTAAATGGGCAGAGCCATCGTTTCAGAGGCCACTGGTCATGTAGGAAAAGTCAAGTCAGTGCTTGTCAGAATGGAGAAGGACAAAGATCAAGGGGGAAGATTTGCTGTTTGTATCTCCATCCAGAAAAGCAGAAGAGGAAAGGATTCAAAATTGACACAAGGGAAGAGAGGAGGGAGGAAAACCTGAGTCTGAAGATCTGAGGGGGGAGTCTGAGTGACAAGAACTTAGGAGTGAATCTAAAATATACTATGCAGCTGAGAAGTAAATGCTTATCCTAAAATGGTAGCATGGAGAGAAAACATAATAATATCCAGTTAAGAGTTTTCCTATGACTTCTTAACTTCAGGCTGCTCATTTAAAAAAGAATAATACAGTTGGATATTTTTTTATTTCTTTAAAAATGAACCAAACCAAACTTTTTGTCTTGCAGTAAAGAGATATATCAGGAAAGGCATCCCCAATGAACACCGTGCATTGGTCTGGATGATTGTGAGTGGGGCCCAAACCAACATGGAACAAAACCCTGGGTATTACCACAGACTGCTTGAAGGAGAGAAGAATGCCAAGCTGCTTGAAGCAATCAAAACAGGTTATTCTCTTGATAATGCTGTTTATCTGTATTTATCCATCCTATGGCCTTAAGTGTTAGAGATCAAGTTATGTCATGGAAAACTTGATGTTTCTGTAGTAGTGGTTTAAGTGCTGAATTAACACTTAAATTAGATTAGCCATAAGCTCTTTAACAGCACAGATCTTTCCAGGTTCATTGTGTGGTTAAAAGCATTAAGAAATGCTTTTAAGGAAGATTAGAAATTATTTGAGAAGGAATAAACTAGAAAACATTACAGTGTCATCCAAGTGATTGAAGAGTTGTAACTTTGAGCCATGACACCTGCCTTTGGGTCTGTTTCTCCTTAATTCTATCCCATAGGATACTGGAGCAGGGATGATTGAAGATGTAGCATAGAGGCCCATAAGGAGCAGGTGAAGTATGCTAGGATTTCAGGTTGAGTAAGAAGACAGATAAGAAAAAGCTGTTGATAGATATATGTGAATTATACGTGGTGCAAAGAGGGTGAATAAGGAGCAATTGTTGTTTTTTGTAACATAAGAACCAAGGACACTGAACGAAATTTGCTGTGCTGCAGGGTTAGAAGAGTTGTGGCACTTGTTACTGTGCTGCAGAGGTTAGAAGTATGAACTGGTTTAAAAAGGAATTTGATAAACTGAGAGGTGGGGGAATCCACTTGATGCATGAAATATTAAACACTAAATGTAAATCCCTGGGAGAAATGTTAGGAGGTGAAACACCCCTCCCCTACTAATCCATTTTCATGTGTGCTTTCTGTGAACATTGATCAGTGGCCAGTACTGATGGCAGGGTATAAGGGCACCCAGACCTTAGGCTGGCCCACTGGGAGGAAAAAGGCAGTAGGTGAGGACAAGTAGGAGTTTGATTTCACTGATACTTGTCCTGAAACCTGCTACAGCAGAGCCTTTGTGGCCGAGCTGATATTGGTTGAATTGTCCAATTGAAAAATCAGGAGATTGGGCTGTACTCCAGAACAATGCTGAGGCCATTTGGTTAGAAAGGCAGGTTGTCTTTTTCCTCTTGCAAAAACCCAGGTACTTAAAGTTTGGGTGTGATGGATTTTTTTTTCAAGCTGGATAAGCATCCAAAAACTTTTGGTTTATGCAGTTTCTTGTCTTGCCTTTCCCCACAACAGCAGTACTTTGGGCTTTTGGGACTACACGCCTTAGTAAGGTATTCTGGAGCATAAACTTCATGTTCCTGTGAATATGGAGACTAGCCAGAAATCTGCAGGCTTATATCCTGCTCAGAACTAGAAACAGTAGAGCTGTTATTATGAATAAAGAAGGAGCTAGTAAGATGACTTTCTAAAGCCCACCTTGGTAAGGGTCTGGAGAAGCATCAAACTATTCAATTGCGGTAAAAGTGCTGCAAGAGAGAGTTGAAAACAACTTTTTTCCAGTAGTAGACAAAGACAGGAAGGGTCAGTAGCTGGCTTTCCCCACAGGTTAAAATGAAAAAATATTTTTGTGGGGGAGGAAAAATACTGGGAGAGGATAAAGATCTGTTTGTGAATTATGGAGGAAATAAAGTTTCGGAAGAGCTACTGCATTGATTGGAAAACTGCAGAAGAGAAAATTAACGTGGAGCAAGTGAAGGAAAAGATAAGGAAAAATGGCTTGGAAGATTTTATTGGAGGGGAGAAATATAATAAAGACCTCAGACACTCCTCCTTTGGAAAGGAAGAACCAATGTGGACCATAGGATGGATAAAAGGAACAAAGTACTTAAGGTGAATGTAAACTTTGTGGTTAGTGTGTTTAATTAACTTATGCTCCTGTTGACTGTGCACATTGTATGAGGCTTTGGCTGAGGACTCGAAATTTCAGTGTGAATTGTTGCCTGACTTTGATTTTGTCTCTTCAAGTGTTGTTCTCCCATTAATGTAGTTGTTTTTAATAATAAAGCAAGGTAAGGTGTGGAATTGTACCTCTGCTTTCATATTTGCAGTTTCCAGAATTTTCATGCAATGGTGCAGTATTTATTCCCACAGCTGTGGAGTTACAGCCCAGCACAGTGCTGAGGTTTATAAACAAGAGAACAGCAATCACACTTTTTTTCTTTTTTTCCCAGGGGAGGGGCAGGAGGACAAGGCCAACCAAAGACTTTATTTCAAATTCAATTTAAAATGTGTAAGAGCCAATGTGTCCTTTTTCTTTCACATGCCCAGAAGCTGCAAACAATTTTCATGTATGTTTGAAATTAGTTTTCATATGGGAAAGTTTTTGATGTGGTAATCAGGTTAAAAAGGGGAGGTAGACTGTGTGAAGAAGTGGTCTAATCTTTAAAGAAAAATCTGATTTGTAATAGAAGTCTTTCAGCTAATTAAATCTGTAATCTGTTCTTTCACCATTTTTGCCCTTTAACTTCCTGATTCTGATCTGATGAGCTTTATTGCTACTTTATTTTATATGGTATTTGCTCTTTGAACATTTTTGTTTTTTAAAGAAAAATGTAAGAGGGAACAGGCTTCTTACTCTAACCATTGAAAGAGAGCTAAAAGAATGCAGGTGTCTAAATTTTCATGTCTTAGTTTATGTAGACATTTAGAAGTACATGCATTCCAGCAACACTTGGTTTTTCATGCTCTATTATAGAAAGTTTAGTAGGACAAATGATGTTGTAGGATAAGAAGTGGCTGTCCTTCTAATGCAGAGACTACATGGCTGGGCTGGGTGCAAAAAGACTGGATTGTAAGTTGTAGCTTCCTTGGGGTAAGCTCCCTTTAGGCTGGGCTGATTTGAATTTTAGCTCTTGTATCTTGTCCTTTCTCTCCATTGAAAAACACACTCTTGGACAGAAGTGTCTGTGTCTGCAAGTGCTCAGGCACGTACATGCAGCTAATCTGTGTTTCCACTCTTGCAGTTCATGAGGTGGAATTGTAAGGTGCCGTGAAGGCTGTGATTTTGTGCTTATCAGTCAGTCCCAGAGCCTGAGCTGTGCTGTGTGACAGCTGGCATAAGGATCTGACTATGGATTGGATGATAGTTGCAGGAGCTTTAATTGAGTTTATGACAGGGTCAGAAAAGTAATTCAAACAATGGTGATTGCCATTTCACTGGAGACAGGGAATATTTTACTATCGAAAGCACTAAGAAGCTTCTCTGAAGCATCTCTGAAACTGTGAGTGGAAGCTGGGGATTTTCAGGTGAGTTTAAAGCATTTAAAGGAAGGGGAAGAGCATTGTCAGCTCTTGTGCCTCTCTGTAAGAGGAGCCCTTTCTCAGGTCATATCCAAGCAGCTGCCTCACGTGGTCTTTGGTCGACCAGAACAGCTGAAGGGAATGGAGTGTGTAGTGACACTTCCTCAGAATGTTTTTCCTACTCTCCAGTTATCTGCAGTTTCGAGAGTTGCCAAGACATATGCTGCATGTTTGTACCTAATAATGTTGGATAGGAAAAAATTAAAAAAATTTGCTCATGATTTTGCAGATTTGTGCTGTCTCAGTGCTGTTAATCATCTCCCTCTAAACTAAGTAGCTTTTATCCACCTGGGTTTATGCTATAGATGGTAGCCATTCATATCTCTGGTCTTCCCTGTTGCCATTCTTTCTGTAATTTCTCTAATTCTGGTATCATCTTTTGGAGATGAAGGGGACTGGAATTTATGCATGTGCTTCTCAGATTTATACAGTGGCAATATTGTTCTTTTATAGGAAATCCTAACCCTGTTAGCTTTCTTGATTACTGAAAGCTCTTGAACTGTTACTTGGTAGGGGGGGTTGTGAGGGTCAGTTTTTCTGACTTTAGTTAATGAAAAACTTGGCCTTAAAACAAACAAACCCCCCAGACCTCCAAAACAATTTATGTTTCCAGGTGTTGCAGGAAAAAGCTTGAGGATGACTGCTAAACACCCAGTTATAACAAATCTAAAATACCCTTTAAGTATGCTGTTTGTACAAGTTGCGATTTATGGCCTAACCTCATTATTCTGGATTTGCAGTGGAGTTTTTGAGTGCTTGTAGTTGGCAGTTGAAGCGAATTTTTGCTCTGCTCTCTACTATGTAAAATAAGAAAAAATCACATGCCTGGAAGCTCTTCAGAGCAGGTGCGCATCACAGATGTAGCAGTGGCAAAGAAATGACCCTAAGTGGATTGGATATGTTAGTTATAAAAATACTTGTGTAATTTACTGACCACCTGTGTCTTGAAGTGGGAAGTACCAGGATATGAAAGTAAAAGTGCCATGGTTTAGGAAATGTTTTCTTCAATTTAGCACTCCCATTAAAACCACGTGCCGGCTCTCTCCCCGTCTCCAGCTAGAGGGACAAAAGGCAAAGATCACAGGCTGGGATAAGAGCAATTTACTGGAAACAGCAATGAGATACGAAAATGAACAGTAACAGCAACAATATTAATAACAAAAGGTGTATAAAACAATTCACACAGAAAGAAAACAAATGATAATAGACAATACCAGGTGGCTCCCTCTGCAACTTTCTCAACTGGATGGAACCCCTTCTCCCTGGAAGACAGTCCCTTTCCCAGGCCCCTGGCATTGGTGAGGTGGTATAGAACAACCTCCAGACCCTATAGCCACACCCTCTTCCAACTACTGCAGAAATTAACTCTGTCCTAGCTGGGATCAGGACAGAAAGGAAAGATGAGCTAGCAAGGTGAAGAAGGTTGTCTTGTAGGTGCATGACTTTTGAAGTACCCTAAGTAGGAAAAGCATGAGACTGGTTTCAAAAGCGTTGTTTTTCTGGACTGTGCTTTCAAATCTCTTTGCTCCAGAAATAGCATCAATGACTGTGGTTCTTGGTACCAAAATAGACATCAGTTTTATAAACTGAGGCTAATGTATTCTGCCTGTTTGTATTACTGAATGAGGTTGAAATACTGCAGACCCATGAAAAGGAAGAAAGAATCCAGTGGTCTTCTCAGGGTTGCTGCACAGAGATAAATCAGCAGGAAAGCTGGTGCTTTGTTTTATTTTATAGCAGCATAAAACTGCCAGCTCAGAGAGCTGAAAGATTGCAAAAAAAATTTGCTATTGAGATTTAATCTGAATTTATTACAAAAGAGTAGCTAGTCTTTTCATTGTGACCTTCTTTCTGGTTCTGTGCTCCCATACCTAGTTTATTTATAAGCAGCAGATCTGCACATAATGAAAAGATGGTCAAAATTTGGGGATTTATTGAGCATTGTAAGGTTCTAATGTTCATTTTGCTGTTTGAAAAGAACACTGATTCTTTTTTTTTGTTTTTCCAAAACTGGACTAGTTTGAGGCTGTGTTCCTTTGGACAGTAATGTCTATTAAGAGTGAAGTAGATTAATGGAGAATAGGTCAGAGGGTAGGCTGTGCAGAGCATGAGAAGGAGGTGTTTGTATGTCTCTCCTGGAACAGATGGGTTAAAGTGGATGAAGTGGTGAAGCCAAATGAACAGCTCTTGCCTGCTCCTTCCATTTGCCTCAGGCCATCTCTGACCCTCATCTTGTACCAGGGTAAAACACTGGCTTGTGTGTGCCTGTGGAGGGCTGGGTTCCCTCATCTTGAGTCAGAGGAGCCTCTGGAAGAACTGGAGGAGGAGGGAGAGCATGCAAATGGAGCAGAAAGGGCAGGATGGAGAGGGAATGTAATCTTCTGCTCTTGTGCTCAAAGGAATAATCTGGCACAAGGAGTCCTGTGAAACCATGCTCCATATCTTCTATTAAGGGTAAAGCTTTTTAGCTTTTCTCTCCATCCCCTCACCCTAAACTAGAATATTGTTACTAAATATAAAGTTTTAAATCCTTCATAAAACTAGGGAAGGCTTCCCCCAGTCCTTCTGGGAAAAAAACATGCTCTGCAATCAGAAAACAAGTTGCAGCTGATTCTCTCAATTGCAGGTTGTGAAATTACAGATGAGTTCAGTTTGAGTAGTCCCTGCTTTGTAGGTGATGGCCTTTTCTTACTCTCCCCTTACCCTCTGCATACCTGGAGAGAAGAGCCATGGCTAAAATGCAGCATTAATCTGTTCTGGAACATTCCTTATATACTTTAATAAAGAATAAATTCTGATTATGCAAATACTATGCTGCATAATCTTCCTACCAAGAAGAAACAAAAGAAATTTATTTGTCCTACAACTGTCTGTTGTTCAGGTCCTCTCAAAAATTGTCTTTTTCCTTGTGCTTTTCTTCTCATACATGAGAGGCAAAGTGAAATATTTTCCTGCAAATGATTTGTTCCCTTTAAAAGGAAGAAATAGCAATTAGTGTGATAACTCCTTCATGCATGTGACTTCCACTACACTATTCATGATTTTGGGGAGCTTTCTTCCTTTGGTTGCTTATAGCTGAACTTTGTGTCAAAGCTGTAACAGACTTCTTCCTTTATGCCGGAAAAGGCTGATAAAAAGTGATAATTCTTAGGACATGAAGATCTGTACAGAAGTGCTGTTACTGAAGTTTGTTTTCAACTTTAACCCAATTTGTTGTTGTCAAATATAACCCAAACGACTACTCATATTTTATTAATAACTCGTGGGTTTGGAAAATCTGCAAAGTTACTTCTAGACATTTAAGTTGGAGAGAAAAATTCTATTTAAAGGTCATATGCACAGCTCTTTGCAGGTGACCTTGGGTTTTCTCTTTATGGAATGAAGCAGGCCAAAAATTAACTCTGCCTGTTGTTTTCCAGCAACTAAGGGCTATTTTGGGGTGACTAGCTCAAACCTGCATGTCTAACTTTTAGACCTTTTTAAGGAGAGATGAATCCTACCATTAATGTTTGGTCTGAAAGAAATTAATGGCTGGAAATGTCAGTAATTGCATACTCCTTACTTGGTTAAGCATTGAGCTTGAATCATGTGGGAATGTGCTCTGCTGCTTGGTTATCAGAAACCACTCCCATTCTTGATGATCTTGCACCAGTGCAAACACAACTGTTCTCATGATCGCATCGTGGAGAAAGTTAAATTTTAAAAAGTGATTTTTAAGTGGAAATCGGCAGCTGCGGGAACAGGTCTGGGTTTTTTGGCTACTACTGTTTGGTAGAAGTTCACTGAGTACGTCAATTGAAAGTTCATCTGATTTGTTGCTTTCCTAGAGGCAAACTCATTTCATGCCACCTGACTCGCTATGTTTGGCGTGTCTTGTGTCTGTCAGTCTAAATACCTGGTTTGCTTTCATTTAAGCCTTTGCAGTCAGGCATGGAGGGAGTCCAATCTGCAGGAGAATTTCTTTAGGTCTGCTTGAAATTGGTTTCTGTATACTAATAGGATTATCCTTTCTAGGAATAGATTATCCTTGAATGCAAGTGCCCTTTTAGCCAAAATGGAGGTGAAGCTGTTTTTAATATTAATCCACCAAAACAACAGTTCAATGAACCATAGTGAAGCTTCAGTTGTACTTCAGAAGACCTATAAAAGTTTTTTTGGATGGCCTATAAAAGTTTTTTTGGAAACTGACAAGGAACAGCTCTTAATTTTGGTCTTTTTCCCTTTTGTTTAGACATGAACAGAACATTTCCAGATAATGTAAAATTCCGCAAAACTGCTGATCCATGTTTGCAACACGCACTCTACAATGTATTGGTAGCATATGGGCACCATAATAAAGCAGTAGGATATTGTCAGGTAGGTAATCACTGTTTTGTGTACAATGTTGCATTTCACCAGTGCTAACTGTTCTTGTCCATTTGAATGTGTGTTTTTAGAAGCACCCACAAACTATTTCTGTTTATAGACTGGCCCTGGGAGGGTGGGGTGGGGTATGAATATCTTCAGGCAAATTAAAATGTCCTTCTGAATTTCTCAGTGACTGTTCTTGTAGCCAGCTTGATCAGTTTGGTTCCATTTGTTAGCTGCAGCATAAGTTGTTGCTTAGGGGAGAGCAAGAGGAAGCGAACTTGCCTTTCCCTTGTCCTGCCAGCTTTCCCCACACAGTCCTTGGTATGTACAAGGCATCATGAGATCTCAGTTTCCTGTGTTTTCAGTGTCATGTTTTTCAAAGAACAGACCAGCATTAATGTGGTGTCATGTACTTGGGGGCTGGTAGCATTTTTTAGTGCCATCTTCCAATAAAAATAACATAAGTAGGAAGAAAATTTCTTTGAAGTTCAACCTTTTATTGCTTTGATGGCAGCTCAAGAAAGCTTCTGTTATCACTGTCAAGTACTGTAAAGTTTCCTGTGGGACACAAAGAACATAAGTTGATTCGTGATAGTCTGACAGTCAAGAAAAAAGTGTCTGTCTTTAAGGATCTTAAAGAAGCAGGCACTGTCATGAGCAAAATGTGTTTTCAGTTCACTTAAGTTCTCTTCTGTCTCCTCTGCTTCCTAAGCAAGAATATGTGTGCTAACATACAGCTCATTTTAGCTGAGAAAGTTTTGTAGTAAATACAACTACTCCAAAGTTGAAAGAATATGAACAGCATTTTTTTAAATCTTGAGAGAAGACTCAGAGGGACTTAAATGTACACTGAAGTCTCTGATAAAAATTTTTTTTCTTGTGTACCCCAACTAGTTTTAGTACAGAAATTTACTCCCATTCTTCAAAAGATGAATGATTTCTATTATTTTCAGTAATACATATTTATCAAAATATAATTTTAATATTTGATAATAACAGAAGGGGTAGAATTAAGAATACTCAATTTTGCAAGTGTCAGGATTCTCTATCAAGGTGGTTAAACAACATAACACAAAATTTCTGTTTAGTAGTAGCTTCTACATGTCCAATTGTTAATAAAATATTTTGGTACCTTTCCTGTTTAATGGGCTAATGCAAGAAGAACACATAAAAAAAACCCTTGTGTGGATTCTTTGCACATCTGGTCTCCTCACAGGATCAGTGCTATTACATGTATCTGTGGAGTACTGGAGGTATTATGGAAGAAAATGGTTTGCACACAACCTTGGGATGAGTTAAGCAGCAAAAGCTTCTAAAAGCTGCTGGAACTGCAACATTTTACTTAATGTGCTTGGGTCAGCCATTCTCCTCCTGCAGCTTCACTATGTACCTGCAGGTTTGTTGTGTTTCTAGTGCTCACCTAATACAGCTGTGTTTGGGTTCTGATCAAAGCAACTTTCAGTTGCACTGGACTTTGGAAAAAAAAAAGGGCAAAATTGAAAGTGTAGACTGCTAAGCCTTTTCTTTTAGTTTTCCTCTCCTTGGTCTTTGTTAATAATTCTTGTGTGCAGGTTTAGCAGGTTACTCAACCAGTGGCCTTCATTACTGGAATATGTACATTTGATTGAATATGCACACTTTGTAGAACTCTAGTAATTTAGCCCTTAATCAAAAGAAGTAACCTAGAAACTGTTAAGATAAGTGTATGCATCTCAAAACCTTTCTATTTCAGGGCATGAACTTCATTGCTGGATACCTGATTCTTATTACAAAGAATGAAGAGGAGTCTTTTTGGTTGCTAGATGCTCTTATTGGAAGAATATTGCCTGGTATGTTAAAAACATAGTTTTATTAATATATTGGAGCTTGGCTTTTATCTTTGCATTCTTTTCCAGATGTAGACAATATCTGCATCTGGTCTGTTCAGTAGCTCTGAGTTCCCTTGCCTGGATCCCTGGGTTTGCAGGAGATGTTTACACAGTCAGTTTTGCCCCATGTATAAGCTGAACCTCACTGCACATGTGAGGTGGTTTAAAACCAGAAGCAGACCAGGCACAGCTATATTTTTTACTCTGGTGAAATCCATTTGGGAATGTTTTTTCTTGGGATTTAATTACAGAGGGAGAATGGTTTTATTGTGAATTCCTATTAGCATTGCACAGGTCTGACTACAGATACATCTTTAATGTAGATGGAAGGTCTCACTGGAAGACCAGTAGAAAATGGAGAACTGATTCCTTATTGGCCTAGTTTCGCTTTTGCACAGATTTTTATCTCAAATGGTTGAAGGTGGAATTCAGTATGACACTGTCAACTAGGTACTGATCAAGGCTGATTGAAGCTTTCACTTTTTCTTCTGTCTGTATATGTTTAGGATAAAACAAAAAACAATTGGTTCCCCATTGCATAGAAAGACATTGAGAAATAAGAAGGCTAGCTGAAAGATTCATTTCATGCTTTCGGATGACTGTAAGAAATTATTTTACATTGAATACACACTGTAGGAACTTGGATTTTCCTTGTGTGGAAACAGTGGTTGGACTTTGTTTCCAGACTGAAAGAGTAGAGACAGGCAGGGAATGCTATGAGTTGTTCAGTCAGTCTGCAAATATTTATATTGCATAGAAAGGAAAGACATTGAGAAATAAAGAAGAATCGCTGAAAGATTCATTTCATGCTGTTGGATGACTGTAAGAAATTGTTTTACATTGAATACACACTATAGGGACTTGGATTTTCCTTGTGTGGAAACGGGGGTTGGACTTTGCTTCCAGACTGAAAGAGCAGAGACAGGCAGGGAATGCTATGAGTTGTTCAGTCAGTCTGCAAATATTTAACATTATGCAGCCTTGAAGTTTACTTTCAAGTTGTAAAAATAGTCTAAAGAAATCAACTGACTGTTGCTTTTGTTCAGCCTTGAGAGCTCTGAGCTGTGCAAACAGGTAGGAAACAGGGCTGCTGTCTGCCCTGGGACCTGCTGCTGCCTTGCATGGGTATTTGTCTGCTTTGACATCACTGTGTCAGGGATAAGGCACTCGGTAAAAGGCAGGTTTATTGTGAAGTGATGTGTGGAAACTCTTGCTGTTAATCCTTTCAATAGTCTTACACACTTTTTTTTGAGGCAAAGGAGGTAGAGTCAGAAAGTTTTGTTTGTTGTATTTGGTAGGGAACCTAATTCACTTTATCAGAAAACCTTCATTTTTATATATTCTTCTACACTTTACTGATACTTGTGGCAAAAGCTGTTCTTATTTTTCCCTCCTAGTTGTTGACTTTATCTTAGGCAGGTAGCATTAGTGATGAGAAGAAGCTCATAACATGAAATGCAATTACTGTGTATAAAGTAAGTGTATATTTACTCAAGTTATAAGAATATTTTTACTTTTCTGTAACAAGATTGTTGTTACTGAATTTAGCCTGGGTCCAACTAGGCAATACGAATCTTCTATATAGTATGAATATTTGTATTTAATAATACAAGGCTTTATTTACAGAAAACTTGTTGATGCTCTTCCCCCCGCCCCGGGATTTTAAAAAATATTTTTATCCCCTCTATTCCCACCACTCTCCAATATAGTTTTATTTGTATATTTATAAAAGTCAAAGCATGACAGATAAAATAGTTAGCATAATTTCAGTGAAATACTGTGTGTGCATGTGTGAGAGAAAGAATCAGACAAACCATATTCATAAAGCAACTCACTCAGGTAAATAATTACTGTCTTTCTGTTAACAGTGCAAGGTATTGCACATTTGAGTTTTAAGCCCTATAATTATTTGTCAGGGAAGCAGAGAAACACCTCTCAAGATCTTGTAGATCATGAATGTTTTCCAGGTTTTCAGAGGGAAGACGAGGAATCAGTTTTGTTGGATCCTAACAGTTTGATTAGCCAACATTTTTCCATTGGTTTGGTTGCTGATTTGGTTTTCTTGATTTGTTTGCATTATAATATGCATGTTTTCCCCCTGTCATTGCACCAAATATTCCTCCAGGTCATGTCCTCATTTTTGAGTGGGTCCTGTCACTTCCAGTTAAATCAGCAGTGCTTTAGGACAATTTGGAAATCCATTCTCTGCCCTCTGCCATCTCCCTGTGGGTGCTTCCTCCCCTGCCCACATGCATTTAATTACATTAAACAGCCTCTCCAGAACTGTGATGCTGACAGTGGTTTTCTTGCTCAGCAGATGAACTAAGCCAGCCACAGATCAATGGCATTGATTGGGAAATGTACAGTGTGACAGATGGGAACATTCTGGGCAAGTGACAGAAAATGGGACTCCATCAGTAAAGGTTTTCTGGCCTGAATTGTTCTGTTACCTCCAAATGGAGATAATGCAGCTGGGAGAGACAGACAATAAATTAGGCTTTGGTTGATTGGTGAGAGGACTTGTGTGCATGCCTTTCATTTGGGTGAACTTTCATTTACCCAGCACTGCTGGATGCAGCTGGCTGAGGCCAGAAAGTTCCTGCTACTGCTGAGGGCAAGCCCATGCATTTCTGCCTGTTGGCTGTCAGCAGCTCAGCCAGGGATTTGGAGGGATTATCATTTAAACACAGCAAGGGGGAAGAGAATTATTTGTTTAACTGAAATTTTGGTGTTACCAAGTTTTTTTTATTCCCACCCTCATTCAGACAGATGGCTGGAGCAGACAGCATTGCCCACAAGAAGCAGTATAGATTCAATGCAAGCTTAGAGTGATGTGCCTGCAGTTTGCATACAGCATAGCTCTGCTATTTCTGTTCTGTTCATCACTCTGATCCTCACGGAGAAGTTTTGTGGATTTTTTGTGCTGTTAAGGAAAGAGTGGAGAGATTGCTTTAGAAAGCATTGAGTAGGTAGGACCTTTTAACTGGTACCTTAGTATGTAAGTAAAGGTGTATACTTGTCGTATTTTACGTATTTGTGGTTAAATGGTGAGCTTATGAGAAAAAAAACTCAACAATTTGGTTTCAATTTAGCATGACAGTTATGCTTGTATATAGAAGAATAATGCCCCCTTCCACCTTCAGTGGTTCTCAGTCTGGAAGCAATTGTGTATATCAACATGTACTGGGCTATTATATTGGAGTTACTCTTACTGAAAACGAGTTGGAGAGTACTTCTCCTGTGGTTAAGAGAGGTCTCATGAGTTCTGCACTACCCCATCCATGGCCAACTTGATATCCTTTTATTCTGGTGTCAATGCCAACTTTTAGGGGTGAGAAAAGTCAAACCCCTCTTTTGTGCTTACTTTTCATGTATTTGTAGGATGCAGTCAATTAATTTTGGAGGTTTTTTGAAAGGCTATGATCCTTCAGTCAAACTTTTCTCTTGCATGAAACTTTTCTCTGTTCTTGTTTTAGCCTAATAATTATTCTGTGTGCTTGTTCCAGCTTGAATTGATTTTTCAAATTTTATTTTTATAAACCTGATCACAATGGCACACTTTTATTTTCTGGTGGAGAATCAGCTAGTGGCTTGTGCAGTGACTCTTCTCACAGTGGAAAGTGTTTTCCTTAAGAGAGAAAAGCTGTAGGATTTCCCTTGCCTTTTTTTCCTAATGGCACTGTGGTTTTGATTTGTGATCTCCATCATAATGCGTGTGCCATTCCTTCTCTCTCATTGTCAACAGATATTTTTTCTACTGCATTTAGGAATTCATAACACCTTTTTGCTGAACTTTATTTGCACATTCTTGTTATTTTAAATGTCATCATGTCTCTTACTCCAGTCTTTCCACCATTCCTTTGTTGTGCTTTGTGTATCACAGCATTTAGGAATTCGTAACACCTTTTTTTTGCTGAACTTTATTTGCACATTCTTGTTATTTTAAATGTCATCATGTCTCTTACTCCAGTCTTTCCACCATTCCTTTGTTGTGCTTTGTGTATTGACATGGGTCAGTATCTCTTGGTTTAGTGTTGTCAATAAATACCAGCTTTTTCTTTTTCTCCAATGTTCTTAATAAAAATCTTAAATGAGGTGTAGCATTCTTCAAGAATCAGTCTCATTACTTTTTAGCAGCAATAACAATCTTCCTTGTCTCATTACTTTTTAGCAGCCTCTACTAAATTTTTTTACCCCTGTGTACTGCCTGGTTGTTTATAAAAAATAAAAAGAGGAGAGTTTTGAATGATAAAATGGTCACCAAAGTAGTATGCTGCACTGAAGGCTGCATTAGCTGCAAGTGCACAAGGTGCAAAGCAAGGTGCCACTGTGGTGTGCAGTGTAGTGCCTGCTGGTTAAGGCAGGTGGCTCTCCCATGTGTGTTCAGCTCTGACTTGCTATTGTATCAGCCAGAGACTCGCAGGTTGCACAAGAGATTAGGCACAGTAAGAGACATGAATATTTGAACTGAAAGGCATTTTAGCTACGTATCAAACTCTTGAATATCCTTCCAAGTGATTCATGTTATAACAATCTTTCGAGTCCCATCATACAGACTTCCAGGTTTGAAGGGAAGGACCGCTTGGGAAATGTAGAAGGCTGTACTAAGCTGTAAAGTATTTCTGTTTAGACTGTTTGCTTTTAATTGCAGTTGAGCCTGTATTTATTTTGTTCTTGTGGCTGAATTTATTTAAATGCCCTAATTGGGTATTGGCAGGGAACCTCTGAATGCAGAACTGGCTTGGCAGCTGCATCTTTTCAGATCTGCATCTCTGAAGGGAGAGGACCTCTTCACAGGAAGCATTTTTATTTAGCTGTGCAGGTAGAAAACACTGCTAGACCTAAACTGAGCTAAATTTGCAGCCTAAGATGGGGGAGTGTTGTGATGAAAAGCATTTCCTTTCAGAGAGAAGACTTGAGCACCTCAAGTATGTGCTCCTTTCAGGGCTATGACATGCATG